CCGAATGACTCTTTAACATTATCTGAATTTGGTCCTCCAAAATTCAGAAATATTTCATTGCAACGTAACAAACTTCGGCTTAAATCAGGTTTAAATTTCCTTAAAGTGCAAAGATCAATGTCTTGGTTGACAACCAAATGATTATACTAAATTAAATTTTATTTAAATTACTAGAATATATCAATACCATTATTTTAATTTATTTTTTTGATACTACAAATTTAAATTAAGCAATAAAAACAATTATTTTAGTCTATCTTCTAATCCATTTGAAATAAGATATGTAAAATTATAATCATGATACTAAAAGATAATTCGAATTCATTTTTAGTAGTTTCTGAAACAATTTAACACCATAATGTCTCTTTATACATTGGTTTGACCTTCAATTAATAATAGGATAGGACAAATTATTTTGCAAGTATTTTTAATTTACAATATTCCGAAATCATTGTTCAAAGAAGTTCATTCATCTCCTTGGATTGTTACCAGTTGTTGGTTTCTAACGATGTCATTTGTACTTTGACGCCCTTTCTTGCAAATAATATGGCATCAATTTGATGTAGGGTTCCTAATTAGATGACTTACAAAGATCCTTAAATGAAGAGAAGAAATGATGGTTAAATAGTAAGATTGGAGAACAAAAACAAAGGGTTCAGATTTATAGTTAACAAAAGAGAGCTTGTAGAAATTTCAATTCCTACGCTATCTTGCTTAAATAACCTTCATGGTGGTGTAGCATTACATCAATTGAATTTTATTAATGATTTAAATCATTCTATCCTCTAGTTATGAAAGAAAACAACTGCCTCTTCCCTCTAGCCTACCTTTACCCATATCTTAAGAGTTAAATGCTTCTATCCATTTCTTTGAAATGATTATCAAATATATTTCTCACAGCCCGAAATCAGTCTACATTAAGCTTTACCTTGAGGAACTCAAAAAGAAGTCTAAATTGATTAATAGTCAATTACTAATTTAAAATTTCAAAACTGGAAAATTAATAGATTCAGATATTGTTGATAAAATCAGTGCGANTGATTTATTCTTAGAAATCTTTCAAAAAGCTGTAGCTAGTGCAAAGTTTTTTTTCAGATCTACCTTATTATGCTAAAAGCAGTTTCTAAATGCGATTCTATGAGCCTTAGCATAAGGAAATCATAGAGATTTATAAGTTCAGCTCAAATACAAATCAACATAATTGTATCTACCTCACCCATAATACACTTCCAATATCCTCATTATAATCCTTATTAATAGATTTGCATAATAATAAAAGGATGTCTTCAAAATTTATGAATACATTAATTGCCTGTATTGGATTTAAAAGATTCAGATAGAATAATTAATCTCTTCTTATTAATATTTGATCAGTATATGAAAATTGTAGGGAATTTAATTAAATGATAGATTTCATTACGAACACAATGAAAACTTATAAAATAACTGGAATATTTAAAGAATAGCAGGTATAGAGTCAATTGGCCAACCAAATATCAATATTAGTTAGATCAGTTATAATCTCATAAAATGCATTTAAATTTATAGTTCCAAAGTTTTCATCATTGGATTGCTTTAAAACACTGAATAAATTTTATATTTAAGAACTAGGAGGCCGAATGACTCTTTAACATTATCTGAATTTGGTCCTCCAAAATTCAGAAATATTTCATTGCAACGTAACAAACTTCGGCTTAAATCAGGTTTAAATTTCCTTAAAGTGCAAAGATCAATGTCTTGGTTGACAACCAAATGATTATACTAAATTAAATTTTATTTAAATTACTAGAATATATCAATACCATTATTTTAATTTATTTTTTTGATACTACAAATTTAAATTAAGCAATAAAAACAATTATTTTAGTCTATCTTCTAATCCATTTGAAATAAGATATGTAAAATTATAATCATGATACTAAAAGATAATTCGAATTCATTTTTAGTAGTTTCTGAAACAATTTAACACCATAATGTCTCTTTATACATTGGTTTGACCATCAAATAATGCCAAAATTAAATAAATTTCTTCGTTAATAAAATAATTTTAATAATTTTAGCAAATCAAAGAGTTCATTTGAACTATAATAGGATGGAACAAATTATTTTGCAAGTATTTTTAATTTACAATATTCCAAAATCATTGTTCAAAGAAGTTCATTCATCTCCTTGGATTGTTACCAGTTGTCTAACGATGTCATTTGAACTTTGACGCCCTTTCTTGCAAATAATATGGCATCAATTTGATGTAGGGTTCCTAATTAGATGACTTACAAAGATCCTTAAATGAAGAGAAGAAATGATGGTTAAATAGTAAGATTGGAGAACAAAAACAAAGGGTTCAGATTTATAGTTAACAAAAGAGAGCTTGTAGAAATTTCAATTCCTACGCTATCTTGCTTAAATAACCTTCATTATAGTGTAGCATTGCATCAATTGAATTTTATTAATGATTTAAATCATTCTATCCTCTAGTTATGAAAGAAAACAACTGCCTTTTCCCTCTAGCCTACCTTTACCCATATCTTAAGAGTTAAATGTTTCTATCCATTTCTTTGAAATGATTATCAAATATATTTCTCACAGCCCGAAATCAGTCTCCATTAACCTTTACCTTGAGGAACTCAAAAAGAAGTCTAAATTGATTAATAGTCAATTGCTAATTTAAAATTTCAAAACTGGAAAATTAGTAGATTCAGATATTGTTGATAAAATCAGTGCGATAAATGACTCTGAAGAATTTGAAAAATAACCAAGTGATTAAAAAAATTTTACTTACATCTTAATTTCAGTTAAAATTTACTTTAGTATGGTATTAATTTGGTTAGGATAACCTAAAATCTACAAGATGAAAAATCATAATTAAACATCTTTTAGTATATTTTAATTTTCTATTAATTCTATTTGCAAAAGATATATAATTTATGAAATAGGTGGGTAATAGAAGTTGTTAGTATTTTTAATGGTAGCAACAACCAAAAAAACTCATTAACAGTGTTTTTATTGAAATTCTTTCGTTTTTTGTTATGTTTTCTAAGTTCATTTTTATATAAATCATCATCCTTTAAGCAAATTTTTCGAAGTTGTCACAAATTCAATATGAAAAATTAATTTGCAACTGAATTTACTGTGTTGTATGTAAATTTAATTTTGAGAGCAAATAAAGATTAATTTTTCAAACAGAACAGTACTTGTATAGATTTTGAAGAAGTTTCATATCGCATATAAAAAAGTTTTGAATGATATTTGCTCAATATTTCAAACTTTTTGGCATTTCTCAAATACTTCCTGGAACTTTTAGAATAAATGCATGTATGCTAAATTCGAATAAAATAACGAAAAGTCTTATAAGACCATCTAAATTAATAACTAGAAAAAACATATAGAAGTTCTGGAATATTATTAAGAAGAAAGTAAGGAGTTTTGAGAATTCTAATTTAAATAGAATTAAAAAAAATAGCAGTATGTTGATATAATCTTAGGCTCTTGTAATGTTTGATATCTAAATCTATAGTTGATATTACATATAATTTAGATGACCGTTATAATAAGATTTTTTATAATTGATCGTTTTATTAAGTGTATTTTTGAGATTTTATATATAGAAATTAAAAATTTAGATGCTATTTGAATATGGTGATGATGAAAAGGAAAAGAAAGAGGAAAGTATTAAGGATTGAATTGACAGATGATCAAATGAATTCATAAATCATTTGAATTAATTTTAAAAAATATTTACAGTTGCTTGATGAAAAATAAAGTCTAAGAAACTAATAAGGAGAGGATTTATATAATATATATATACAAAATCTTAGATGATTGTAGAATAAGGAAAGCAATCACAATAATACAAAATAGCTTGCATAATTTTCTTTGTGTGATAAAAAATAGCGATTCTCAGAAAAAGACTCGCATTGAAGATTCATATGTTTACATAAACATTATTCTACATAAGAGGAACAATTTAATAAGTGAGGATGAATGCAAATATAAAGGATGAATGAGGAAATTATACCAGATAATTTGGAATTGTATTTATTGTAAACTGGTTTAGTATTGGATACTAGAAGAAGCTGGAGATATAAATTAGGATTTATTAAGGAATGGAATGAGTAGTTTTATTATGATCGGCTCATGGATACGATTATTGAAATGGGACAATTTTACTCATAATCTATCTAGATAAATCATACAGTAAATTCTCCAAGCAATAAATAAAGGAGATTATTAATGTGTTCTCTTCTCTTCTCATTTAAAAAAAAAACTGAATTAGACACTTGCAAAAATTTAAATAGGCAATACTGGAAATTACAGCATTTTTGGGGTAAATATAAATAATTCTATACTTCCTTTATATAATATCTCATAAGAGGAATATTTTGATATATATAATCCCAAATACTAAATTTTAGCCATTATTGGTCATGTTATCATAAGTGTATGTAATTTAAGAATTATGTAATGCTGCAACAGTATTAAATGTGCCATCATTTTATTGTCTAATCAAATAGATATGATGTTTGTGTCTTACCAGTATCACATTTCTATTTTTATTATGTACACATTCATGTTAACCACATGATGACAATACAGTTTCAGATTAATTATAACTGAATGAATAGGTAATATTGCTATTGTTATCGAAGGAATAAAGAAAATTGACATCATACTTTATAAAATCTACTTCCATGCTATTATTTTAAGATCATTTTCTGCTGAAAGTAGTTGATCCTCTTATTTATTCAATAATAAATAATTAACTAAATCAGTACGTTATTTGAATGGTTATGAGCACTTCCACTCATTTTGATTAATTTATTACCAACATATAATTTTAATTTATAAGAACAAGAAAGAAAGTTATCTAGATTTTGTTTTAAACTAAACATTAATATAGACTAATTGAAATGTGAAAGTTTTAGAAAATAGGATAGATATGTAATGAGACTTGTAATTAAAAATATGATATTAAGCATTTTCTGATGGACTTGGTTAGGAGGTCACATGATGTTCCCGTTTCTTTAGTAACATATCCATAATTTCAAACCATTATTTTGGTACCCATGCTAATAGAATACACACTGCATATCCATGTTGCAATTGGGGGCTTTTTTAATATGAACAGAGCGTTCGGTAGGATTTGTAAGGATTTTCGTGATGGTCTGAATGTCTTTACTATATAAATAGGAGATAATTGAATAATCTGTGTGGAGCATTCCAACTGTGTCGAATGTCTACTTCTCATATTTTCCGGGTTATATTTCCTTTCGGCTCAAACCATAATGCTCCACATAATTATGGTCTCTTAGTAAACTACATTGTTGATTACAGCTCCTAATAAGTAGGCACATATGAAGAATCCAAAGTAATTATAAATAATGCATGAAATAATAAAATAAGAAATTTTATACCTACGCCATCAACAGATGGAAATATTTCTAGTAATCTGTATTAAAACAAAGAAGTTAAGAAGGGATGCCATATTGTTTATGAATGCATTTTGGATGATATTATATATATAAATAATTGAAGAATGATCAGAAGTTGATGCTAAAACAAAAGGTAAGATATGAGGATAATTAAAAATAAAATTGTAACATACAAATGAAAAATACAGGGTATAGTCTAACTGCAATACTGTAAATCTGGTAACCAATTGAAATATCCAAATTTTGATTGCTTTTTAAGCCTCATTAGTTATACGACTAACTTCTATTTTAGTTCTAATAATTATTTAATTTTGAATCAAAATTCTCTTTAAATTGATGCGGTTGAGATTTGCATATTTTAACCTATATCTGTAATCTAAAATTCCAATCATTTGATTGTATTCAATTGATTCCTGTTGATGACAATGATGCCACTAACTAGGATGTTTGTGAATCAGAAACAATTAACGATAATTGCAGGCTAATTCAAACATCATATCAATAAAAAAGCTGAAAGATCTAGTGAAATTATGTTATGAAACCACTATCATTGGTTTCTCTCATTCTTAGTAGAATTCCAACTTTGGATGATCATTTTTTTAAGATATCATTATTGTAATTTAATTCTATCTAGTTGAAAAACAACAATTCGTTATTATCAAATGAGTGCAATTAATGATAATTAATTATTAATATTGTTCTTAGCCAAGTTTTTTAGTTAAAATAAACTATTCACAGGCTGTTGATATCAAAATGCTTAGAATTTTATAGTATTATTAAAACATGCAATCAAATCTTCTTCTCTTTTTTCACTATCAAACGTTGATTTAGTGCCTTTATATTAGCAAAAGAACTAAGATATCTCAAGAAATGAAATAATATCAAAATCATTAAAATTCTTTTTCGCATGAAATAAATAAGAATTCGATTATTGGAAGAATTTTTTGTCATCACTCTTCTGTTGATAATTCTATTTCATAATTTATTAAATATCATTAAATATCTTGCTGAGTTTTGATTACCTGCACAAAAAAACCAAAGTTTAATGACTTATAATAACAAGAATTAGAAAGATGGTATATATAATTGAAATAGAAATCAAAATGAAGAGACTTAGATAGAATTTGAAGAACAAAAAGGATATTAACATGGTGTTCACTTTTGGAACAATATTTGGTACAGTATTCAATTTAAAAATTGACTTCCTTACCTAGCTACACATTTTTTTATAACGAATTTCATTTACATATATGAATATACAATTGTAATTTAATGCTAAATACTTTAAATGTAATTTAATTAGAAAAGTATATTGATGCTTAAAATAAGGAAATGCACACAAATTTTTCATCTTCTATTTATTAAAGTTTTTCTAAAATCTAAGAATAATTAAGCTATAATTGAAGAAGAGAAATCTATTATCAACAAATTGTAGTTGGGGATGGTACACTTTGGTTTTGGAATGGAAAATTGTGCCTTAACTCATAATTCTCCTTATTTCGAAAAAGAGACTCCAAAATTTTACATGACACATCTATAATGCTACTTATAATAACAATAGTAGACATTCTAAACGAATTATGAAGAAGAATTTACTGAATGTTAAGAGTAACTTTGATCGAATATTTGTAATTGAAAAAAAATTTTCATCCATTTTTCAATGTGCATATATTAACTTTTTTATTCTCTACTTGCTCGAAAATAGCAATATTTCTTTTTCGATTAAAATGCTAATATCAGCCACATATCCTTATTTTTTAACTCAGTGGGCGTTTTTAAAATAACTATTAAATCAACCATAGGACTTTNTTGATTGTTTTCTAAGCCTCATTAGTTATACGACTAACTTCTATTTTAGTTCTAATAATTATTTAATTTTGAATCAAAATTCTCTTTAAATTGATGCGGTTGAGATTTGCATATTTTAACCTATATCTGTAATCTAAAATTCCAATCATTTGATTGTATTCAATTGATTCCTGTTGATGACAATGATGCCACTAACTAGGATGTTTGTGAATCAGAAACAATTAACGATAATTGCAGGCTAATTCAAACATCATATCAATAAAAAAGCTGAAAGATCTAGTGAAATTATGTTATGAAACCACTATCATTGGTTTCTCTCATTCTTAGTAGAATTCCAACTTTGGATGATCATTTTTTTAAGATATCATTATTGTAATTTAATTCTATCTAGTTGAAAAACAACAATTCGTTATTATCAAATGAGTGCAATTCATTATAATAAATTATTAATATTGTTCATAGAAAAGGTTTTTAGTTAAAATAAACTATTCACAGGCTATTGATATCAAAATGCATAGAATTTTTTTAGTATCATTACTATATGCAAACTGTTTCACTGAAGAACTTTCGATAGAGCCTGTTGCACTCTATTTTGTATAAAAACTTTTGTGCCATACAATTAGCAGCACATGATTTGCAGAATAGCTACCTTTTAAAAATGCATATCTAAAGTTTAATTTTTTAGAGACTAAAAAAATTTTAAAGCAATTTTACAAAAGCTATTTATCTTATTTTGAGATTTGTTATAGCAAAATCTTCTTCTCTTTTTTTTCACTAACAAAATTTGATTTAGTGCTTTTATATTAGCAAAAGAACTAAGATATCTCAAGAATTGAAATAATATCAAAATTATTAACATTCTTTTTTGCATGAAATAAATAAGAATTCGATATCTATTAGAAGAATTTGTTGTCAACACTCTTCTGTTGATAATTCTATTTCATGATTATTTCGATATCATTAAATATCTTGCTGAGTTTTGATACCTTGCTTTATAATAACAAGAATTAGAAAGATGGAATTTATAATTGAAACAGAAATTGAAAATGAAGAGATTGAGAAAGAATTTGAAAAACAAAAAAGGATATTAACATGGTGTCTACTTTTGGAACAATATTTGTTATAGAATTTAATTTAAAAATTGACTTCCTAATCTAGCTACACATTTTTATAACGAATTTCATTTACATATATAAATATACAATTGTAAATTAATGCTAAATACTTTAAATGTAATTTAATTAGAAAAGTATGTTGATGTTTTAAATAAGGAAATGCACACAAATTTTTCATCTTCTATTTATTAAAGTTTTTCTACATTCTAAGAATAATTAAGTTATAATTGAAGAAGAGTAAAGTATTATTAACAACTTGTAATTGGAAATAATAATAATACATCTTGGTTTGGGAATGGAAAATTATGCCTTAACTCATAATCCTCCTTTTTTCAAAAAAGAAAATCCAAAAAATTTACATGGCATATCTATAATGCTAGTTATAATAACAATAGTAGACATTCTAAACGAATTATGAAGAAGAATTTACTGAATGTTAAGAGTAACTTTGATCTAATACTTGTATTTGAAAAAAATTTTTCATCCATTTTTCAATGTGCAGATATTAACATTTTTATTATATTGTATTATACAATGGCAACAAAATCCAATAAGATGGACATTTTATTGAAAATCTGTACCTGAAAATTATTTTTAATGAATATATCATTAATAAAATTTTCATTATGGTATAAAGTATTGTTTCTCTTAAGGTGGGTAATATGAAGATAGATCAGGTAGAATTAGTGAAAGAAAAAACTGTCAAGATATAGAATCTGCATACTGAATTTGAAATTGAAGGGTGTGTGCTTTTTTTAAAAAATTAAAATAACAAACCAAGTAAGTTAGTTTGTTAAGGTTTAGAAAGATTCGCATTGAGGAATTTCAATTTTTGCACTTTCTAACAAAAGAAGAATGCTATCTTAAAAAATTATCGATTTGGAAAACGAAATTTATAAATAATAGTCATTATTTTTAAGAGAAATTATTTTTGTATTTGAAAACTATTGTATTTCACTGTTACATTTAAATTGCCCTAATAATGATTGGTTTGTAAATTGATTTTAATAGAAATAATATAATTGAATGAATGAATGAATGAATGAATGAATGAATGAATATATATTAAATATAATTTTATTAAAAAGGATTTAGTAAATGAATTAAAAAATAAAATGTTAACTTGATGACCATTAGGATGAAATAGACACGATTTGTTATAATTAGTTTTGTACAGAAGTCAGATTAAATTGTTTTACATGTATGAAGAAGGCAAGAATTCATCAAGATCATTTTGATGATGTTGAAAAAAGTAATACCTTGATTGGATTCATTGAAAGTAAAAATTAAGAATGTGA